AAGAGAATGTGTATGTGTGTGTGTGTGTGTGTGTGTGTGTGTGTGTTTTAAAAAGAATCTCAGGGCTCTCATGAAAACGTACTGAATCAGAGTCTGCATTTTAAAAAGATCTAGAGGTAATATGAGCACATTCAACTTTGTTGATCTAAAATTCTCAGATTTTTATGTAACCACAAATCAGAAATATGTAGAGGTGTGTTACTTACCTGGACCAGTTTTATAATTAAAAATCAACTCCCTAAAGAGCTCAGCATACTATTATTTCCTAAAATGACAAATTCATGGCCCACAGTCCTTGTGGTTATAATGATATTAATCTGGAAAGGACTCCTCCATTGTAGGTTTCAGTAGCCCAAAGAAGTGCAGATGGATGAGGGGCCAGATCATTTCAGGCAGAACGAAAGGGTTCACCTTGGCTAGAATTCTGTACATTTCTCTCAGCAGATAGCATCCAGAGCCCCAGAAGTCTGCCTACCTGTCTAGATCTGAGGCCCTTAGATCACAACCATTAAATAATGTCAGCAAAACCATTTCCTCCAACTGCCAACAGATGAACGGACTGGCCTAAAGATTTAGCTTAGTACCCTCATCCATTTGGGAGAAATGAACCATCATATCACCTCCATGTAGGATGGTAGTAAAGAGTAATAAACCTCCCAGAGATGAGACTCCTAAAATCTTCTTCAAAGGGCCAGCAGGTGGCATGGTGGTTAAGGGTGCTGGACTCCCACATGGCTGATTGTGGTTTGAATCCTGGACCTAGCAGTTTGCTTTTTCACTCTCCCCCTGCCCCACCCCGTCCCTCTCTGGCCAAATTAAAATGAATTAATATTCAAATAAAGTTAAATAAAAAATAATTCTTTAAAAAAAATCCTCTTTCAACAATTCCATTGTTTTCTGGGCTGGGAGTGGGTGTTCAACTGCTTAAATCACAGTTCTTTTTAAAGAATTGAGACCTGGAAGAGGGGTCCCAGTTCTTCATCCCTCCGCCCCACCCCGTCCCTCTCTGGCCAAATTAAAATGAATTAATATTCAAATAAAGTTAAATAAAAAATAATTCTTTAAAAAAAATCCTCTTTCAACAATTCCATTGTTTTCTGGGCTGGGAGTGGGTGTTCAACTGCTTAAATCACAGTTCTTTTTAAAGAATTGAGACCTGGAAGAGGGGTCCCAGTTCTTCATCCCTCCCTGTATCAGTCAGTACCCAGCCATTTAAGTCTGTACTGTCTCGATCTGACTGTAGTCTCAGCTATTTGACTTTCTTGGAACAATGAAATAAGGCAGAAGTGATAGTGCACGATTCTGAGCCAAGGTGTGAAGAAGCCCCATGTGTTTCCATTCTGTTGTACCTCTGCCATCTTCACGAGACTGTACCTAGGTTATTTTGTCACAGGACAATAGACATATGGAACACAGATAAGTTGCCCCAGTCAAGGCCAGTCCAATAAACTTACAGCCAACCAACATCATATATAGAAGAAAGCCCAGCAGGGCTCACTCAAAGGCACAGGAGTAATGTGCTACTCAAGAGAAGCTGGATCAGACATGACAACCATGGTTCAAATTCCTGACCTGGTCAATCTAAAACACACCAGACACATAAGTTAAAGCCTAATACCTAACAGAATGGAGGACTGTGGGAAAGGGATCGTGGTGTGCCTATAGAGGACACTCAGCCCTCTCCCTCCTTCCCCCTACTCTACTCCCTTTCCCTCACTCTTACATGCGTGTATATCACTCAATCATGAATAAAGTAAAAAATTTAAAAAGAAAGCCCAGCCAATACCAACAGAGCCATCTAATCAGCCCAACTCACTTAAACTCACAAGCTATAAATGGTTATTATTACATCTCCATCATGGTTTGTGGTTTTGTTACACAGCAGTTTTGTGCCAATAGATAACTAATACACCAAGTAACAAATTAAATTGAGTTATTGATAGATGTTTCCCTTTTTAAATTTTTATTTTCACCCTAATTTCCCCCTCAAAATATTAGCTTCTGTTAAGAGTACTTAGGGACAAAGAAAACAAAGTAGCGAGTGAAAAAAATAAATATTAAAGTTCAAAAAGCCAAATCAACTGATAATGGACAGTTGTTTTTAATTGCTGTGATTTTCATATTACATACATGTTATGTAGTCCTATCCCTAAAAGTGCCTTAAACCCCTCATAGAACATAAGATATGTTCCATTTCATCTCATAGACTTGGCACAATGCCCAGTGAGGGCACTGTGTGTAAGGGAGTGGCCTGGATAGTCTCTTGTCTCTAATATTCTCTGTACTACCAGAGACAGTGATGTCTGGAAAGAGCCAAGGTTTTTGAGTCTTCACTCAGGTGGCTCATGTCCAGCTTCTGCAGAAGCAGCTGCCAAAACAAAAGGTGTATGTGTGTGCACCTTAGTGGGCCTTACCTGCCCATAACTTAGGGGTGTGTTACCTTGTTGACGCATCTTCATAGTCCGTATCCTTATTGCCTCTCCTCGAACTCGGCCTTCACAGAAATAAGCGCCATTGATCTTACTAGCTTTTTCTCTCTTCCAGACAACTTTTTTAGCCCCTTCTCTGGTCGAGTCTTGAGTAACTTCCAGTGGATCCTGGTGCTGATTCATTAAGGCTTCAAAGTCTCTTCCTATGGTGATGGGCTCATGGGGGCGCCATCCAGAGGCAATGCAGGTGAGGGATGTTTCAGCATCAGATACGAGAGGTAGGGAATTGATCAGGATCAGGTCCATGGCAGCTTCCACTGCTCCTAAAAGGAAAGAGGGAACATAATGTATGAATAAGGTTGTTAACAGGGTCTCTAGGGTAAACTGATGTCTACAAGGCCTTGTCTAAAAATAGCTGTGAGAGTAGTCTTTTTAGAATGTACCTGCCTTCCACTAGACATATCCAAAACCCTTCCTAAGGCATCAAGACCTCATCACCTAGACCCTGTTAACTTCACCTGCCCCACTGCATACTCTAACTACGGTGGATAGTCCATTATTCTCCTAAACGGGCAAGCACTCTATATCTCTACCCATTTTAGTATCGGAGACATAGCTAGGTATTCAGTAAATGTTGAGAAAAAGTAACGATGGGACCAGTGGATAGCGTAATGGCTACATCGCTGAACTCCCATGTAGTCGACCATGGTTCGAGTTCCGAACCTGGTGGCTTAAACGCTGGTCATGTGTGCATGCATGTCCAAGATCCTAAGAGGAGAATGGAGGAGAAGGAACTGTGGCATGGACATCCCCCCTGGGGGGGTGATTTTTCACTTTCTGTCTCTCTGTCTTTCTGGTGAGCGCATGCGCCCTATAGCAAAAACCTCTCAAAAAAAAAATTAAAAAAAGAAAGAAAAAGTAAAGAAAAGATAATGATAATGGTGCTATCATTGATTATTCATTATAGGTAATAATATTGGTTATTATTAATTGATATTAATGTAGCACTGCCACATAAAATCTTAGAGGAATCTATGAACTACATACAGTTATACACTTAGGCCAACTTCATATGCTCATTTTTAAAGAATTGCCCAAGTCCACATTAAACTTTGCAAAATAAGAGAGGAACAGTGACTAAGTGAAGTCTACATTTCTCTGAGCCTCATTTGTCTCTTTTTGAAAATGAGGCTAGTAAGACCTGCCTTTCAGGATTCTTGTGAAGATTGAATAAGAGAAAATACATCACATGCCAAGCACTGTGTTTGTTATATATTGGATAAAATTGACAATTATTTCATTAATCTTCATTCTATTTCCTGAACACTTAGCCCCAAACTTCAACTGTAAAATGTAAAAATAAATGTAAAAACAAAACCCCGTCTGACCTTTCAAACTTGTTCCGTAAATTATTCTGTAAATAATAAAGCATATTTGAAAACAAAATACTTCACTTGTCTCAACATTTCTCTTCTCCCCTTCTCTTTCTGTTTCTAAAGTTTCCAGCGCAAACAAATGAAAGCCGGGCTTATTCGCTTCTTTCTTGAAACGTGAACATTTCAGAAATAGAAAATGTTCTCTAGCTCCAGGGGTGGTTGACTCCCAAGTCTACACAAAATAATCAGGAGACTAAAAAGGGGTGATGTCCCAGAGAGAGCCTCAGGACTCGTGCGTAGGCATAGAGTGATTCAAGTTAAGCTACATGTCACCTCATGTAATTTATATGCTCATTTTTAGAGCATTAGGTTTTCCCCCAACATTCCTGTGAGATTTATGTCACTATTTCAGTTTTAAATATGAAGAGATGAAGGCCCGACAGACCGAGGAGCTTTTTCAATCTCCTACAGCTATTGAAAGCAGAAGCGGGATTCTTGTTCTCCCTGGTCTTCCTGTTCTCAGATACGACATTCCCTTTTGTACCTCACAGTCTTTGTACATGCTGTTCCCTCTGCCTGGAATGCGTTTTTCCACTCTTGGCGTGGCTAGCTCCTGCTTCATCTGGGTCTCAGTCTACTGCCACTTTCTCATAGGCTTCTCTGCCTGCTTTACCTGCAATCACTGCATACTCTCATCCATTCTCTCTAATCCTGTTTCCTTCATAAAGATGATCACAATTAGTGATTATGTCCCTCTTCCTCTAGATGACACTAGCTCCTTCTTCGTCTGGGTCTCAGTCTAAATGCCACTTTCTCATAGGAGGCTTCTCTGCCTGCTTTACCTGCAATCACTGCATACTCTCATCCATTCTCTCTAATCCTGTTTCCTTCATAAAGATGATCACAATTAGTGATTATGTCCCTCTTCCTCTAGATGACAAATTCCATAAGGATGAGGATTAAATCTATTTTGTATAGAAACAGGAATTTAGGACTGCTTTATATAGGAGTAACCTGCCTTAGCTAGAAATATAGAGAACTTAAGTACTTGTTAGAAAGACAGAAGAGGAAATTTTATTCCAGATCTACCTGATTTAAATCCATTCATTTCTTGGGCTCCCACCTGCAGAATAATGAGATTAAAACTCAAAACGGTCCAACACCTAAACTGACTTCCTTACCCTTATTTTAAAACCTTTTTAAATAGCTCTTGCACTTATAAGGGGAAAAACAGATGTTATAGCTCTTATAAAATGTCAAAGGTGATCAATAGTTGCTAAGCATATGGAGATGACTGGTGTTAATTTACCAAAACATTTTTTTAAAAGAGATTTTTGCTATAGGTCATATGCGCTCACCAGAGAGACAGAGACTGAGAGTCATAAAGCAAGAAATCACCCTCTAGGGGGATGGCAATGCCACGATCCCTTTTCATCCATTCTCCTCTCAGGATTTTGGGCATACACGTAACACACACCCAGCCTGAGTTTCAAGCTGACGCGTTCAGGCCTTGAACCTCGGTCAACTACATGTGAGTCCAACTATGTAATGATTACACCATCTGCTGGTCCATTTACCAGAACATTTTAAAAGTTTATATTTTCCTTAGGAGGGGGAGAAGGGGGAAGAAGGAGCACCCTTGGCAGTCTCCACACCATGAACCTCCCAAGCCCTACAGCTGGCCAGGATCATGGGTATGCGTGACATGCTGAGATAGACTAGGGCACTCACCCAGAGCCTTCCGGTGGGGTATCCAGCATACACACCAGTGCCTCTACTGCCTGTGCCACTGTGGTTAGGCCTACCAGAACTTTTGTGAGCATCTGTTTATGCCAAGCATTGCTCATAATATGATGATCCTCACACAATTTGCTTCTGGTGACAATTGCTCATTTTTGCTGGATGCAGTGATGTTTTAAAGATGATGTTATTAAAAGTTATAGTTTTGTCTCAATTAGGGAAGAGAATTTCAAGGTCTTCATGTAAATAGGAGTTACAGTTGCATGTTATTGTAATGTTAACTCCATGCATGGGGTTGAGGGGAAAAATAATCTTCCTAGAATGGATTTCTCAAGCCTAACCTTGAAGCATCCTTTTTTTAATACTTGCTTTGTCAGTAACTTTTAAGATCTCAGGAGAGAGGACAGAGGTTAGGATAATAAAAACTTTGCGAGAGAGGATGAGTTATGAAAACTAGCAGTGGAATTATAGCCTCCAAAAATAACAGCAGTGCACACCTCCCTTTCACAGGCACATCCAGCCCTGCCTCCGAGTGAACTCGCCTCTCTCTTATACTTGCTCATTCCACGCATGTTCCAGAGAGGGTCATCAAGAGGAAGGAAACACTGTAATTCTTTCATCTCTGGCTTAATTCATCCCCATTTCTGGGCCCAGCTGAATGACTTGCCAAAACCATGAGGTCTGCTCTGAACTCACAGAACTGGCTGTGATTTATTTAATGACTTTAGGAAATAATAGAAAAAGCAGTTGATTTGGAAATATAGCCACACTTCATCTGTCAATTTTTTCTGTGTATAAATTTGGTTTCTTTTTCTCTTTCCTCCTAGTGATCTCCCTTAACTTTCCGTGATAGAAAAGGAAATTGTATACTTTGGGAACCTGGACTTGACAACACTTCGCTAACATACTGAGTATGCCCATTTAGGAAGCCCTTTTCCACCAGTGAATGCTCTGTCCTTTATGATGCCATGTGCATTAGAAATACCAGGAGAGGGCCAGCAGTGTGGTGGTTAAGACAGCTAGCTCCCATATGATCAATCACATTGTTTGAGTCCCAAACCCTGCGGCTTAAGAAACACACTGGGAATACGTGTGTGCATGCTCAAAATCCAAAAAGGAAAAAGAAATGGACAAGGGAAGGCAATGTGACTATGCCTCATGGGAAGTGTTTTCTAATTTCTTTTTCTCTCTAGTGAGCACACACACCCTCTAGCAAATGAAAATAAATAAATAAATAAATAAATAAATAAATAAATAATAAAAAATACCAGGAGACTTTTACAAGAACTTTGGGTATGAGAACAAATACCTACCAGTTTCCTGAGGTAGATCTTTTTAATTTACTTTTTTAAAGAGGTTTTTGCTATAGGGCGCGTGCACTTGCCAGACAGACAGAGACAGACAGAGAGACAGAAAGCGAGAAATCACCCCCGGGGGGATGGCCACGGCACAATCCCTTCTCCTCCATTCTCCTCTCGGGATCTTGGGCATGCACGCACACGCGCCCGGCGTGAGTTTTAAGCCACTGGGTCCGGGACGCGAACCGCGGTCGACTATGTGGGATTCCAGTGACATAGTCATTATGCTAACTGCTGGTCTCTGTGAGATAGATCTTTGAAATTATCTGCTTAGTTTGCTTAACAATAAGAATCTATATTTGTATTTGCTTGTATATACTTCAGGAATTTCCAGAAGGTGACACATGTAACTAAGAACAGGGTGAACTATGGAGAATTGGGCAGTCAGGGACATTAATGGGAGGGACACTTTAATCATGCACTTATATGTACTGGCTTTTGATCCATTTGAATATTATCAACAAGTAAAAACTGAACATTAAAAAGTAACTGTGGTTATTGCCCTTCCGTTATTAAGGGGCAGCTGGAAGTTAATCAAGAGCCATGAAAATAGGTATGTCGCTTATCCCCATACTCACTCCAAATCTTTTTAGATTCCATTCATATAGTGCATTTTTCTCTTTCTCTCTTCTTTGAACTAGTAAAGGGAGTACTTAATAATGAGCATATCACCCCCACAGTACTGGAAAAAATTAGCTAAAATATAATTTAAGAAAAGCAGGAGTAGGAGGAAGAGTGGCCAAATTTAGCCTTTCAAAGAGAGTAGAGGAGCAACAGTCATGACACAGTGGGTACAGTTGTAGCCTGTGGCTTCTGGAAAGTTCTGCCACTGATACCGTGAAAGGCTTG